GAAAGAAGCATAATTGTTATGTAAAATTGAAACAAAAGCAATTTTTGTTGTGTAAGATAAATATTTTAATCTTGACAAACGTAAAAAACTGGTACCAATGTGTAAGTGTTGTATTTTTTATCAATTATCCATTCAACAGCTCTTTCTATCTAAATTATATCTAAACATAAGATTGTAACGTTCAGGTGTTTAGGTACAGGACAGCGTTATCATGAAATGTGACACGATAAATGTGTCCTCTCTGATTTTACATTCCCACGACTAAATATGACATTTGACATATGATAACAGATCTGGGTCATGATATTTAAGCCGGGGCAGGATCACTAGCCGTGTACAGTACTAAACGATACTGTGTGGGCACGATATACCTAAACCTCGGTCACCATATGCGAGTACCTGCTTATGACTCACTCCGAATTAAACTTTAAAACTCCTGAACTACAAGAAAAACATACCTCCGAGCGCCATCTCCCTCTTGAGCAGGTTGAGTGAGATGTCCACGGGCACGCTGGGGTTTGTTGTCACAGTCACCGTCTCTCCGTTAGCGGGCATGTAACAGTCTATGCCTGACATTTAGAAACAGAGACATAAAGAGGACTGAAACACGCCGCTCTTCCTGGTGTGAGCGCACGTATGACATATAATATTATATCATGATCTGTCTTTCATGAGCCGAGCGATATTGATGTGAACGACTGGAGGGACTCTTACTGAACTCCTGTTCGATCTTGCCCTTAAGGAACTCCATCTTGGCGGCCTCCCCGTGCACCAGCAGCATGTTGCGAGGCTCTGCCATTCGAATGAGCTGCATGATGCCTTTAGCGTCTGCGTGGGCACTGAAGGACATGTACTCCACCTGCAGCTTCACGTCCAGCTGTAACAAAGGAGGAAAAACAAAGAACAGATGTCAGAGTGTTTTTTTTTTTTTTCTCTGCCTGTTGAATTTTTCAATTTAAAATATTCTGTTGTCAGGAGACGGTTAGCTTAGTCTAGCATAAAGACTGGGAAATGCTCTGAAGGTAAAACTAAATCGAACAGCAGATCTAAACCTCACGTCAACGGTGAAGAAATAATCCTACACACGAGTGTGAATTAGTGACATGAATCAATGTGCACACATGTGGACCAGGCCTCTTACGGATGTGGTCTGGTGTGATTGGATCTATATCTGATCTGAGTGTGTTCACCGTGTGTGTACTCGGTCAAAGAAATAATTCCAAGCCATAAAATACAGATAGATCCCTCGACTCATGCAGCAGAAAATAAAAACCATCTTACCGTTGACCTCCCTTCCATCTCTAGCTTCCTCTGCCCATTTAAGATCTTATGACCGATTGTTCCTTGTACACAGTACCCAGGCATGATCACCTAAGAAAAGAAGAGTTAGTTGTGTGTTGTTATTTTTTTTTTTTTTTAAAACACATTATTTTTCCATTTCCCTTTGAGACTCACCATGTTCTTTTCATTGCCAGCCCATTTCTTGAAGATCTGCAGAGACTGACCAGCGTGCAGCATTCCCGGTGTGGCGAACACCACCTGAAAGTGCACGAGTAGTTGTAGCTCACTGCAGCTTTACTTTCCCACTTGTTTTTGGGAGAGAGGGGGGGGCGTAACTTACCATTGGTCCAGGATTATCAGCGTAGGAGCGATCGAAAGCCTTGATGTGCTTGAATTCAAACATGTTCCTCTGCACGAAGGTTTTTCGAATCTTCTGGTTGGTCCACGTTATGAAGAGCTTGTAGTAATGATTGGCTTTCTCCGTCAGCCCAGTGGAGAAGTAGATCGGGGCCTTTAGGTTCATTCTCTCCCTGTATGTTGAGAGGAGGTAATTAAACAAGTCTGTCCAATGAAGAAGTTCACACGTTATCAGCAGCAGCTACACTGACCCCTACCAAAATGTCTCCAGCAGGATACAGAGTTCTTGAGCTCTTCCAAGAGCAAAAACAGGGATAAGGACCTGAAAAGATAAAAACATTTAATAACTTCATGATAAATCAAAAACCACCAATCACCAAAATATAATATTCAACTAAATTCTACCTTTCCTCCTCTCTCTATGCTTTCATGCACTTTCTTCAAAAAGTCCCTCTCCCTGCACCTCTTCGAGTCTCGGATGGTGGTGGCGTACGTAGACTCGGAGATGAGGATGTCAGGACGGCACTTATCGATCCACGCAGCGCTGAAAATATACAACAAAGGATGAAAACAATGTAATGTCACAAGAATTTACCGCCGGGCGGGAAATCGATAAATACAGTAAAGGCCACTTACCCTAAATGTCTGTCGGGCGTCATGTTATAGTCTCCCTGAAAAGGAAAAGACATTCAACTAAGAGTGTTGTTGTTCGGTTCTCTGACGCTAAAGGTTTGTTTATGTTTTAGTTCGATTCATTTACAGACGGCAGGAGCTTCTGTCCGTACACAAACAGAACAGTACCACTGGAAATCAATAGTTCAAGACACGAAGAAGAAATTCTTCACAACCTGCACCACTCTGTGCTGCTCACTGGTGGATTAATGCCTAACAACCGAGCCAATTTAAATTAACTCAACATCTTTTCACCGCTATGTGATGGAGGGGCGGGTGAAGTGTTTGGATCTGAGAAAACACTGGTGTGCCGTGTGTGCGTGTGTCGGTGTGTGCGTACGAACATGAATGCGTCTCAGAGGAGGACATAAGAAGACATTTAGGTTAAAAACATGGTGTATGACGCCATTTTAAATTTGAATGTCGGGGCTTACACACTCGGACGACACCACACGAGCAACATGGAGGCATTTAATGTGTTTTTTACGTCTGAAGAAGACGTCGCCAGTTACTTCAATTGAATTGGATTTGACAATGTTTAAGCCTGAAACTCCAAAAGTGTTTTATGGACTCAAACACTTAAGATAATGAGTTAATCTTCATTTCTCGGTGAACTATCCCTTTAAAAGGTGCATAGGTGGGCAGTGACGGTTGCATCATTTGAAACAGACACATTTGTTAAAGGCAGCATGAATCCAGAGCAGACTTGTTGACACTCACGGTGTAGACGACAGACTCTGATCCCACTTTGATGTGCACCATGGCAGCTCCCAGGACATGGCCTGCATAGTACGCCTTGATCTCCAGCTCATCATCCACCTGCCGGCAGCACAACAGAAACAGCGAGATTTGCCATCAAAAGAGACGAGCAGCTGGTGCAGGAATGATTAACAGACAGAGTGCGAGCGCACGTCACATTCTATGCACCTGGACGGTTTGATGCAGGTTCAATGGCACAACTTTCTTCATGCAGTCCTTGATCATCTGCGAGGTGAAGAAGTTGGTTTCTCCCTTTTTGTCGACTGTGATCTTGCGGAAGTCTTCCAGCAGAATGGGACAGATGGCCTTGGTGGGGTGGGTCATGTAGATGGGGCCGTCGTAGCCCACCATCTCGCTCATGAAGGGCAGAGCGCCACAGTGGTCCAGGTGGAAATGGCTTTGAAATGAACAGGTCGGAGTTAAAACACAGGATTGTTTGATTTACTTTGTAGATATGAAGGAAACAATGAAGCTGATTTGAAAACAAACCTGATGATCACACAGTCCAAGAACTCTGTCAGACGTCCATTCTGGGTTATGTAGGAAAAGTCTGGGAAACGTCTCTGGAATGACAGAAAAGACTCTGAGTATATGGGATCATTTGACCAAATTAAATCTACAGATATCAACGTGTTTTTAAATATACACGTTTGTTGATATATCGTCATCGGGCCCAAAAAAACAAACTGTTGACGTTTATCTGTGTGTGATGAGCTGCTTCACTCACGTCATCGTTGTATCCCATGTGCATCCCACAGTCCAACATGATGTTTTTACCCCCGATGGACACGAGGATGCAGCTGCGACCAACATCCTGTCCAGCACCTGAGAGAGAGAGAGAGAGAGAGGGAGAGAGAGAGGAGCTGTGAGGACACTGACAACACACACACATATATACACACACTCACTCACACATACGTTCATTCACACACTCACTCTCACACACACACACACTCATTCACCACTCACTCACACACACACACACTCATTCACTCACTCACACACAGTCATTCACTCACTCTCACACACACACACACACACACAGACAGACACACACACACATTAACACGCACACACACTCCAGCTAACAACTAGCTTACTAAACTAGCTTGGTAGATGCTAGCTGTGCTAACTAGCCTCTGTAACGTCCCTCACCCAGCGGAGTAACTTTTATTTCCGGCATGTTTCCTCCTCCTCCTTCCTCCAGATGTTTCTACAGCTGTGGTTAAATCACACGACTCCGCAGCTTCCTGTTAATGAGCCTCCATGTGTACAGATGTTTATTGTCTGGTTTGTTGTGGACATGTGAAGCGTTAGCACTGTCAAGTTACCCGCCATTAAGTTTAAAGACTTCCGGTGAGCACCTTCACAGTAAAACAAAGTCAATGGATTATTTATAAAATTCAAAATTTGTATTAGATACATATCGAGAGAAGGATAGATAGATGGATAGATAGATAGATAGATAGATAGATAACCTCCAGCCTTAAAATAAAAAGTCATAAAATTTTTGATCTGTGATAACACACCCTGACAAGCTTGACCAAATCTGAGACAGTCAAAGCCATAGAAAGTCAACTTGGATCCTTGTTCCTGTTTTACCCATTTAGTTTTTTATTTTTCTGCATCATTTGGGCC